GTTTGTTACATTGTAGTCCACATTTTGTTTGCAATCGGTCACACATCCGCGAATGTGAGTGAGCCAGCTAGTCTGGCTTCCTGACCTGACAATTTCATAATGTCTATTTAATTGATCTGTTTCACCTGAAGTAGGGTCAGGGAACCAGACTACAAGAACAGCATTTTTTTCTTGGCTTTTCCTACATCTACAATGTACATATGAACAAAAATTTTAACAGGTCATATTGTAACAATATTTGCTATAAAAATACTAACTCCCAAATCCATCCATTTCTCAAAATTACAGCAAAAGCAAAAGGTCGTATGACTCCATTCTGCAACAAAGTCGTATCTCGCGCGTATACACTCCGTGCAACAACGTCGTATCTCGACGTCCACTGACTTTGCGTGTACATCCGGGTTATTTTAAGCCACATACGACCTTTTGACATTCTGAAACTCGCGTTTCGCGTTGATGCCATTTTAGGAGATACGACCTTGTTGCACTGACGCGACGATATGTTGTACATGTCAGCTAAAGAGAACAATACATACCAAAGTTCCACAAGTTTCAGACAGTTACCACAGTCCCCCTTTTCCCATTCAAAACTAAACCCCCTTTGCCCCATGGATCAAGTGAACAGTAATGTGAGTTGATGCCAACAGCAGATCCCAGCATTCTGACTGAAGGGAGACGAAAAAAATTGCAAAATAACGACTTCCTCTTGTTGACAACTTCTCCCCAGAGAGTCCCATCGTGATTTGCAATTAATTACAACTGGGACATGGTGAATTGAGAAATCGCGCACACCGCAAAAAAAAAGTGGTGTAATAGGAGACGTCACAAGGAAGTTCACAACACCAACATGCAAACTTCCTGCATAGCTACATGTACACGCACATCAACTGGTGGCGACAATGAACATGGCACAGTCACTCTGTCACTTTTTTTTAATGATCCGGTTTCTTTTGCCTGCAATCTAAAGAAACTGAACTGCAATTTGACATTTTCTCTGGGTCTGTTGGGTCTGTCCAACAGGTGTTAAAGTCTGATTGGGCAAATTACACGGAAAGAAATTCAAACATTTGACATTGTTCTTATCTCTCACTGCAACTCCTACGCTACTACTACTCCCCCCCCCCCTGGAAAAAGAAAGACCTGACAAGATGAACAGTTACAGAAAATCGGTATATTCTTTATCTACTGAAACCATTCCCCTCTTTCAATGAAGCATATAATTGGTACGTACATAGGAAATAATGACTCTTGAAGTCCACAAAACAAGGGATGTAACATGTATCAAGAATGCGCCTTGTTCAGGAATAGTAATAAGGAAATCCCATGACAGTGACGTAATGCGTACAATCCGGATGCACCGTGTTTTGATAGCTCAGCTGGGGAAACTACGAAAGCAATTCTCCCCCACGCAAACAACTTAATAACCACCCATTTTCAAACGACCCACAGGCCAGGTTTTGTGCACTTTTGTGCTCAAATTGAGTTGCGATCCCTTTTGTATGCCAGGACAGGACGACTTATTTTGCAAGACATCGTGATGGAGGTGGGACCTGAAATGTTTTCAAAAACTTAGGCTGATGTTGTCTGGGAAAGATCAGATAATCGGATCTCAAGAGTAAGAGATGTGCTTGCAGAGACAGATGTTTCAAAACCAGCCAAGAAAAACATTTAGGGAAAAAAAAAGTTTAAAATAAATGTACAGTACTGATAACCTGTATGGATATCAAGTTACATTTCTGTGGCAAATATGCTGGGAAAGTGAATATTAGATTGTACCAAATTCAGAAAACAATGTCATAGCAGTATGTGAAGATCAAAGAGTCAAACATTTAACAAAAAAAAAATTCACTACTTAGTAAGTCAGCGCCAAAAAATGCTAACCTCGCAATGGATTCAATGAACACAATGGGATGTAAATAGTCCCAATGATAGATAAACAGCGTCAGGTTCAACAGACGCCGTATTCAACCAATGTAAACGTCTCCGGTTTGACCGCAAACAAGCAGTTTCATTTTGAAAGTAAACTTGCAATCACCAAAAGGTCATTAGAAGAAAAATTAGCCATACAGGATGTGTGCTTAAGATAAGCAATGAATAGATGTGGCTGGTTCTGCTTTCACGGCAAAATTTGCTTCATGGATGACACATGCATCACAAAATTACTGTTTCAATTTCACGCCAACTCAAAAATAACATTCATCATGACATTTAACCTGCACTTAATCTCAATGAAAACAAAGTAAAAATTTATCACAAACAATCAACAGGAAGTGTGCGCTGGCGTTTCCTACTGTGAAACTATGGAACATGAGTCCAGCAAACTGAAAGATCGTTCACTGTGGACAAGTGATGAGGGCAACAGAGCGCTGTGCATTCCCTTTAACCTCGTAGCCTTATGCAGTTTCTGGGTCACTTAACTCGCTTCAATAAAAATGGAATGTTTCAATGGCATCACAATGGGACTTGGACCTCAACTTAAAGGACACTTCTGCTCTGAAGGCTTTTAAATTACCATGCTACATGGAATTAACACAAGAGAATGACAACAAGAATGTACTACATTGTATGTATCAAAATTGTTATAGGATTTTCCTGCATAATTCTACCAACTTAAAAAGTAAAGTTTGAGCTAAAGGCCTCAATAATATGGTGCCTGGCACTGCCTGCGGCATGGAAAACCTGGAAACCCTGGTAACAACATCTACATCAGTCGTGGAACAAGACACTGGTGTCCACAGATGGACAACTGCCTAAACACATGTAACTACTCAATTTTCTTCCATATTTTTTGTATTTTCAAGTCTGTCCAGTGTCAAGACCAGAAATAACAGCCAATGATGATGGCACTAAAATCGGTTTTTGGTTTTAACTGATGCATTTTTCTTCAAACTCACAAAGTTTTTTACAAGGTCGCAGTGAACCAAATTGTTTCAAAACCTTCTTAAAGTATCCCCACAGATTCTCCTTTAAAAAATTTGGTCAAATCAAATTTGCTCTCAGTGTGAGTCCAGTGACCCGGCATCCGTGTCCTTAAAAAAATTGGGGGTCACCGCAAAAAGAGAATGTTCTTACTGGAACAACTGCTGGGCTTTCCTGACCTCAGCCGACAACGTGACCACTGCAATTTGCTGCCTTGTCAGCATTCAGTGTGGGCCACTGGCCTTATTATTACTACAAGTACAACAGGTAGGCATTATGCATGTTTAGTCCAGGAACAAAAACAAGGATGTTTTCCTAGGATATGCTACAATCGTGGATAAACAGAGTGGTCTGGGAGTGGTCGCAATCACAGCAGTACAAAACCATAGTGCAAAAAAACAGGAAAACTACCAAAAAAGAAATTCACCGAAAAATCTTAACCACAATATTTTTGGAAGCATGTGCAACCACTGAGTAACAAACTGAAACTATTTAGGGGAATAGGTACTGTGTGCATTCCAGTGGTGCATGTGAAAGTTACTGTGATTAAATCGTACAATGTGAACATGTCTATGTTTAACATGTTCATTTTCTGTTCACAGACAAAAAAGTTTGGTTCCTGTTTGGCAGACGTTTCAAAAAGTGAAATCAGACACAATTGTTCTCATCCCTACTGAAGGCAATTAAAAAAAAACACAAATCCCCCAACTCAACAGATTTCATTCATCAGGAAGGTCAATCCAGTTGACCAATCACATTGGGCCTTTCATACCAATCAACCAATACCATTTCCTGTATGACTTTGGTTGTACAGTGGTGCCGGTTGCTAGGCAAATTTGCAATGAACTCGCCTGAATGCATCGCTTTTTGTGAGGGGTTATTTAATTGGCCCGAGGGGGGCTCCGTTAGTGAAAAGAGGGAGGTAAGTACATCATTGTGTGGCCAATCACAAGCATTGTTAGCCTGCACTTCACGGGTCAGCTAAAAGGATATATAATAAAAAAAAAACCAGCATGTGTTCAGTTAGAAGGACTCCCTTTAAAGAAAAACTGTTCAGCATGTAGAAAAACTGAATTGCTTTAACAATATCTGAAAGGATTGTGTGGCATTGAGACTCTATCTGTGGTAAATCCAAGCATGCTTTCAAAGAGAAATCCAACAGCAAGGTATACTTATATAACTTCAACCAATTGTAAGGCATACAGTGGTGGATAGGTGGATGACTGCGACTCTTGGTGAGGACTGTTACTCAAGGACTGGTCAAGCCTTGAGTTTTCGTCCAATCACAGGTTTGCTCTCGCTAGATCTTGGGTCAAACGATGTCACACTAATAATATACGAGTACATCATGCAAGGCCAACGCACATAATCAATGTAGAAAACTTAGGTTTTCTTTCAAGGCTCTTTACTTATTTACTGTGAGGAAAACACAACTGAAATGAACCTTGGATCCAATGCAATACAACCAAGGGTCAGGTCAGAATACCACACTAATTTATGCAAGGTCAGGTCAAAGCATGTTGGGGCAACAACAACTGACCAATGAGAACACAGTTCTGCACAAAAACAGGAGGAAATGAAGTCGACCACTTGAAGTTTCAGGCTTTGTAACTGGTCAAAGCTTTCAGAGCATTTGGTCCAAATTAAGCTAATTCCTAAACCACATCCAGGACATGGAACATTCAAATCGCAATTAACATGCTCATTAGTGCATCCAATAATTATTCCCAGAACCATCACTACTATTTTTTGATCGGTTATAATTTCTTCTGATGAGTAAGATAAGGGTCCCAAAAATGATGAATCTCAAATGTCAGGTTTTAATGAAATTCACTTGATTAGCATTTTTGGGTTTTTTTAATTTCCAATTTCCTTTCACTGCAGATGCAACAGGCACTGAGATAATTACTGAAGCCTTATTAATGTGAATGTGTGAAATTGAAAACAGCAGATAACCTTTTCACACAGCGGACTTTTTTTCTTTTCTTTTTAAATAAGAAAATAAAAAATGTATTATATTTTAACGATTAATTTCTTGATAATTATTTTAAATTTGGAAGGGGGCAGAGTGAATTACTTACTGGCATTGGGATACACTTCCAGGGTTGGCGACACAGGCACCACCGTTAAGACACGTGTCGGGCCCACACGAAGCTGCAAGAAAAAAAGGAAAGCAATAAAAGAGATAAATTGGCCGAGGAATTTGGTCAACGAAAATTGTAACCTTTGTGGTTTATTTGAAAAATTTAATGATCCCCGTTTGCTGTTTCAAGTTTTGCAGCTTTGCTAATGTTGCTAGCATCTTGACTCTGGGTGTGATCCCTGGCTACATGGCATATTTATATGGCAGATTAGGCCACCATCAACATAGGGCTGGATAGCTCAGTTGGTAGAGCACCAGAACGGCAATCTGGAGGACACAGGTTCAAACTCCGCTCCAGTCAATTTCTTTGTTCAACGTTTCTTTGTTCATTGTAAACAAAAACAGTTGGAAATTGTAAGCTTTCTGGTTTGGTGAGTAACCAGTTTTGATTTGACGAACCCAGTCACTCCCAGATCCTACAAACTCCATCAGAAGCTTATGATCTATCATATTTATCTTACCAGTCATGTTTGTGATGCTTCATTCCCCTCAATTTAAAGATTTTTAGAATGTGTCACTGGTTTATTGTACACTTGGAGGAATCGGAAGGATTTAGGCAGGTTCCAGCAAAAATCCCCAGAAAGTTTGGGTAATAGCTAATTTGACCAAACCCGGACTGGTTCCTGGGACCTCTCATTGTCTTGACCGACCTAAATTCACCGACAAGGCAACAGGCACTGATAATGACGTTGAAAAGGAAGCTTGAGTTGTCTACCGCTGCAACCATTGGACAGCTTAATACAACATTAATCGGTAACAGCAAGCTGAATGATACCAATGTTTAAGTACAGGTACATCGATTAATCGATTTATAATCACACTCAGCTGTGTACACAATACAATGATCAGTATGCATTCAATTTTTTTTTCTGGAACCTGTTCTGTGTAAACAATCCAGAACATCTCTTGAACATCTCACTGGAAACAAAATTTCTGCAGCGTTTTTTTTTTTGGGGGGGGGGGGGCATGCATGACCCTCCCCCACTATCAGCCAGGGTTTATCAAAGTGTCTACACCGATAGGCGCGCGAGTCCCGGGACGGTAATCTACCAATCGGAAGACCCATTCCTCCCGCCAACAATGAGGGTAAATAAATACACTTTGTCAATCTGGCCCGCGCACGGCACACATCCCTGCAGTAAACACCCTGCCACGGCCGATAACGCTCACTTCCTAAAGTCTAAAGTTTAACCCATTCCTTTATTCAAGTGCTCGAAATTACCGGAGATCCATGCAGACGCGCACAAAAATTACTTCTGCTAAAGTGTGTTCAAAGAGGAAGGGATTTGGTGTGGCAAATGTTGTTTATTCTATCCCCATCTGTATATTGTACATCTCTTGTGCCACATTATCAACCCTGGCAATCTTTGACACAGACAACACTATTCTACAATATACAATGTAACTTACATATTTTTGTAAATATCTACAAGTATACAATGCTCTACAGTAAAAGCTTGTGCTTTACTACGAACTGCATAATGCAGTCTCAACTCCAATCCAGAGTTTCCATGTCCACACCCTTTAGAAAAATCTACAATTTTGTGATGATACATGTCTCTAACACACTCATTTCAGTGCAGAGTGTACACCTGTAGATCCATTGCTACTGTAAACTTCCTAACTAGTTCTAGCGAATGACAACTGGGTAAACAAAGTAAGGATGTGTTCTTACAACTGTATAAATAGCGCATAAAATCTGGGGTTGGACTGCAGTATTTTTGGCAGCATTTTTGAGGCAGGCTTTTGACCAAAAAAAAAAACAGTGTGAGGGGTCTCCCAGACCACCCAAACAATGACAGCCTCCCTCCAACCCCCAGATTGGGCAATTTCCTTTTGGCCCTCGCGTGCTCCCTAATCAGATAACTTAGTAGAATCAAGGACCAAAGGACAAACAACACCAGCGGTGAACTTCGAACGCAAACACTTTTGCATAAATTTGGTTAAGCGAGTTGGTAGGCGTGAGGTCGACACGTGTTTTTCACCGTTGTCACATGTCCAACACATCTGCAAGTATTCATCGTTTGGTCCGCTTAAACAAATTACGGGCTGGTCAACTTTTTGTGAAGGAAAATAATGAACATGTACAAGTTCTCTCTAAAAAAAAATATTGGACAATCTGTGAAATTGTAAAAACTCAAAAATTAATGTATGGAATGCGATTGAGAGCTTCTGTGTGTTTTTTTTTTTTATTATTATTATCTTTCTATTGTTATTGGTCACATTTTGATAAATGTGGAAGCCAAAGATTCAGAACGAAAATCGTTCCACAAAAACACAAAAAATATTTTTTCCCTTAACAGTTGAAGTTGAATCACTCCTCTCGTATAACCACAGTGCCAAATCAGCCAGTAATGAATTTATTATCTCAGCTTTGTGACCAAAGCAAAGTTTTTTTCACACAACACCAGTGGGCAGGCGGTTTTTTTTTAAATAAACTTCTCCTGTTTCGCTTAGCCATAACAAAGCGCATTCTTGGGCCAAGTCTCCCGTCATCGCTTTTCAATGGGGAAACTTTGGCACAAGCAATGACCTGTCGTCATTGGATGCAAGCATGGGCTGCAACTGTAATACCACACATTCTCTCGTTTCACTTTAATTATATGAAGGAATGTAAAGAGCTTGGCATCCCGTCAAGGCATTCTGCATCCGCATGCAAGCTTAAAGAGGATATCTCTGATGGAAGGTTTTATCAGATGGGAGAGGTTCCTTTTTTTTAGCCCGAGGGGCTTTATAATTACTCATGCTTTATCAACTGGCAGATTTAACAGTTGGATGTTTCTACAGAAACTTTCGTTAACAGATTTTAAAATTAGGCCTAGATTTTTGTTAGAATATTAAGAAATTCAAATGCTCATTTGAGTAATGAAGTTAAGAGCAAGTCATGTGATACCAAAAATCTACGACTGTTGATTTCAAAAGAACTTTAATGCTGCCCTTTGTCCCAAGTATATTACATCATAGAGGGGGGTGTAAAGACGAATATCAAAATACTTTTAAACTTTTATTTTGATATTATAACCGTAGAGCAAAGGAAAACTTTACTTGCGGAGGCAACATCACAAAGGACACTATGGGGGGGGGGGGGTTGTGAACCTGATTGTTTAAACCAAGGATAAATTCTTACCTTCCTCAAATTGTAATTGGTTTTTTTTGTTATTTCGTGCATTGTAAATACAAGTTATTGTTACAATCAATTATTACTAAGAATTGTTCTGCCAGAGGTACTTCAATACTTTCAACGTCAATCATGCATTCCATTCCATCATTGTGAGTTATATCTCCAACCCGTCCGTCACACCAAAAATAAGTTCTTTTGTACACATGTACACGTGTACATGTACCTGTGCGGTTAGGCGATCAAGGGCAGAGCAACATCATTGTCATCAAATTTGCTTAGAAAAACACTGGCAGACTGGTTAGAAAGTTTCATCAACAATGGGCACAGGATGGCAATGTTTTTTTTTGTGGAAGGACAAGACAAACAAAAGTAATAAGAAACAATTTCAAAGGTTTCACTACTGCGTCATAATAAAAAAAGGAACTTTACACAATAAAAAGAACACTCTACTACACCAATGTTACATTTACAACATGCAAATTGATTCATGTACAATACTTTTTTCATCCTTGCTGATGAAAAAAAATCTTAAAACATGTTTCTGACTATTTATTTCATTACAACCTTTGTGTGCGCATTAGCTCAACTTTGTAAAGATTTGTTTCTGTCAACTTTCAAATCCAACCAAAACTTAATACAGAAAATAAACAGAAGTCAAACAGAAATATGACCCTAAACTTGACACTTAATTTTATTTCAACAATGTTCAAACAAACAAAAAATGATTGAAAGGTCAATCAATCTACACAAAAATGTAAACTAAATCCTGAATTACAAGCAGATTGTCATAGACGTTTGTTTTTTTTCCTTTCGTTTAAATACACTTTCCTGGACAAATTTTCATTTGGAATTGATGTCATCCTTGAAGACATCTAGTTGCTCACTTGATGTAATTGATCAGGAAGTAATTGAAAGGGGGAAAAAGCACCCTGGTCATGGCGTCTTCCTAACCAAGGGGGCCTTGAAAAATGCACTAATTAACACATCCCACTGCGATAACCCTGCTCCTATGATTTCCTGGAATGCCAATACGCTGTGGAATCCAACTCGAATATCCCGAGGCTGGGATGCAGTGTTTGAGCATGGACTAAGGTTTTTGTTAAGCTTACATGTACATGTAGGCTTAAGCTGTACATGTACATGTACCTGCCGTGTGTCCTTTGCAGTGCCTATGGACTTGGTGCATAACTTTGCCCTTACTTAACCCTAACCCCCTAGATTGAATACTACTAAATGTAGGAACCTTCCTCACTCCTGCAAATTCCAACTCCATATAGTAAACTGTACACTTGGACTCTGATTTTGGTGGTATCAGCCCTAACCCTATATTCAGTATACTGGTGCAGTACCCACTCCAACAGATTCCAACAAACCCTGGTGTTTGAGTTTGACTGGATGGGGATTGTTAAATGGCAATGTCGTTAGTCGGCGTTAGGCGTACAGCGGTAATGGCATTCAAGACTCTGCCTTTAGTCTATCTTTGCCATCACTAGGGGGTACCGGTGACAGTTCATCGGGTGCACCACAAAGTGGTGGGTATGATAGTTTTGCTACACCATGAAGTGAGGGATTTTCAATGGACTTTGTTTCACCATGGAGGAATACAAATACACTTCATGGGATGGCAACTGCGCCTCCACGATACGTCATTTCGTGGTACGACCGACGACTTAATGGTGGGCTTTTTAGCACCATGCTTGTGTGAATTCCTCTCACCCAAACTACCTCAATATCACAAGTCTGTGCCCGTTCAGCAGAGAATAATTTGTCAAACGAACTCTGTATATGCACATGTGAACAGGAATTACCGGTCTGAAAACCTTCATCATCTATGAAAACACAAACACAATTCTTTCCATTTCCAAGTTTTGTTGATTTGTGTAAAAAATAACCAATCCAAACATGCAACATAAAAAAAGAAAAGAGCTTGAGATACCTGCTCTGCCTCAAGAAAGTGCAAGTTTGCTTGGTCAGTCGGGTCATTTTTTCCATATATGCCTTAATTTGTCAGCCAATAACTCCGATAGTTGGTATGTTGGTAAAGTTATTTTAACAAGCTTACTGAAAGCAAAAGTCCACTGAATAATTGGAAAGGTGCATTGACCCAAGTACTTCAAAGTACTTGACATACTGCAGATTTGAACGTCCCTGCATACAGTGCACTGACACTGCTATAATAATTATAAACGGGGGAAGAGGATTGCAGAAGCGAAACAGATATCGAAATACTGCCGAGCTGTCTGCTGTAAGTGTAACCCTTCCGATAAAAGCAATTCATACTGCTTCCAATGGAGGAAACAATGTTGCAACCTGAAGCCACATTTTTCTTCATCATCTCAATAAAGGTCAGCCATTGCAAAAATGATGATAAGACATGCATCTGGGACTGAGAAACATTTCCGATTTGTTTGGGAAATACTTTAAAAATTGTCTGGACTCTCCATAGACTTTGTACACAAGTGCTGAAGTGGGGTCAGGTTGCAACATTTTTTCCCCAATGGATCCAAGGTGACAACCCTGCTACTCTGATACATTGTAATATTGCAATCCTCATTTTTTATACAAAGTAATACACAGTGTTACATTCTTCCAGCTACTGTGCAACACAGTTGAAAAATTGTTGTTGCCCTCACATGAAGAACATCAGGAGGGTCTGTCAATCAGGGATATTTTTTTTGGGGGGGGGAGAGGTATACATACACATGTACTTCAAATATAGCCCTACCCTTTCTTCTGTTTCATTCGGTTATTCTACCAACTTAGTTTTTTTTCCAAAAATTTCCGCATTTTTTTGTATTTATGCAACTTGCAAGACAGTCATGACAGTTGGAAACTGTTCTTGGAAAATATTCTTTACTCTGCATTATTTACAATGAATAACCCAACTAACAATTCAACTTTCAAGCATTGTGGGGTTTTTTCCCAACATTATTTTCATTAACTTCGTTGTTAACACCATGCATGCAACATCCATGTCTTTGTATTTCGCCACTTTACTACAAGAAATACAAACCCATTGGCATTACATTTTTAAACCCCCAACTACATGCACTTGCGGTACCGGTACGCACAACAGACTACAGCAGAGTTCACATGTTCAACAGGTTTCAAACTTGTTGATGTACCATAACTCAGTCTGCGTGTGGTGTACAGTACTACTACTTTGCATTTCCTCAAAAAAAAAATCCCATTTACTTAATACCCTTCAACATGTGTACTTCAAACTATACAGTTTGGGTCAACTTCGGCCAAAGACACTCAGCTGATAATGCAAGTATTCCCCGGGTAGGCAGCACGTTACTTTACCTCGAACAACGGTCGTACACTGCAGCACGGTGTTGATAAGCACCACCACCAGTATCAAATCCAAACGGGGCATCTTAAAATCCGGTCCGAGTTTTCGTCCCATCTTGACCCTCCTCTTCTCACGACAATCTGCCTCTTTGGTCAACCATGAGTGCGGCGGTGTCCGCAAGTAAATTCCAGGCGATTCTCGGGCCGTGGTGTGAACGAATTCCCGACGAAAATGTGTGGAGTTTTGAGTTGAGTTTCCGGTTTATTGCGACAAGCACTCGTTAAAAAGTACCGAACTGAGCTCTTGGTGTTTTGTGTGTGTACGTCGTGTGTGTACAAAAAAAGTTAAGTCGTGTGGCTGACACAAAGCGCACGACCATTGCAATATCCATCCGCGGCAGTGAGGACCGCTCAACTATGGTAAACTATTATCATGCAAATTCAATTTCGTCAGGCACGCTTTTGCCAGGGCAAGTTGAGCCGTCTTCTTTTATATACTTAATAAACCGTCCATTAAGGCCTCAAGGATTTTGGCTTTTAATCCCCGATGGTTTAGGATAAAAACTGGAATAAACTCCGCCCGGCAGAGTCCGGGGGATTTAAATAGGGTATACCAGTGCCATTCGGCACTTGTTGAAGATCAGTATACCTACACGGCTGCAAGAAAGTACCGGCCCCTTATGGTGAATATTGAGAAATTGTGGTTTTCATGCACGAACTTTGTTTTCCGTAATTCTTCCCGGATGAGGGGGGACGGGGACTGGGGAATGTACAAATGTAGCTATTATGGGGCCCATAATTATAATATACGAAGAAAGGAAAACCTTCATTTTTTTTATTTTATTCTTTTTAAAATAAAGATCAAAGTATTAAAGCAATCGTCCTCGTCATGAAAGGTTGATCAATTTCAGCTTTATCATAGAGCATTAGCTCCATAAATTTGTATAAGATTAACGCGCACTTTTTATCGGCTACACTAACGCAGTATTTTCAATATAGGCATGCATGGTCCATTTGCACAAGCGTGAAGGGGGGGGGCTACAGGGTGCCTAGGTGGCCAGTGCCATTTTCTTATTTTTTATGTATACAAGTACCGTGTCACGGTGTCAAGGCACAGTTTTGCTAGAATGTGTAATTTATTTGTAAGAGTATACAAGTTTGTAAACAAAAAATATTAGTTTAAACTTTTATTGCTATAAATCCACCTGAATGGTGGCAGAAATGCACGGACACCAAAAAATACACAAACCTAATTACTGCATTATCTCCATATTTCCCTTCAAATTGAAATTCTATGTAAATGTTGTTATTTAACCATTCTTCAGGCGTGAATACACAGTGAAAGGCAACCAGAAGGCCACGTGATGGCGGCATAACCTTGAGCACATGGTGCTGCGTGTCACAGCTGTGGGCAGTTGCGTAATGCTTCTGCTTTTAAGTTCTGCAGGAGCGTGACTTGCGCCCTCAACGGCCATAATGACCACAGTCCGTCCAAAAGGTTTCACTATTTTTTTGTCACAGTGATATACATGTATGTATGTGGCTTGCCTTCGAGTACGACTTTTTTTACTGTAAAGTAAGCAAGGGTGGATCTACCTATTTTAAGCGAAGGCGTATCCTTGCTAAAGGGGGTTCGGGGGCATGCCTCTCCCCCATTCCAAGGCAATTTGAGACTAAATTTAGGAGCTTTGATTCCAATTTTATTACTTTTTGGCCTCAATTAACGTGTATCGTAATTTTGTCAGCGGCTGAATGGTGTCTAACCTTCAACACCCTAGGTCCGCCACCTGTAAGATTTGCAAAAATATTGTTATATTTACAAAAATTGGGGGAAATATTTCGTTTAATTGGTAACAAGATGGTTCATTAAAAAAAAAGTTGAATCGATTAACAAAAAAGTAAGGATCATGATATTTTTGAAAATCATTGATATTTTGCGTCTCATCGTTTTGATAACTTGTTTGGGGTCGAAAGGTCATTTTGTTAATGACCGTGTTGACAAAGAAAAATGACATCACAATTCATTCCAGACGATCGGTGCAAGAATATATTCTGCGGAGAAATGTATGGCGACTAAATTAACATCAGTGTATGCAGGCCCGTCGCTAGGGGGCAGGGGCCGAGCCTGCCCCCCACCCCCACCCCCGCATCGGCAAAAACCATAAGCGTCAAAAATCAACTACATGTGGGTGTTTTTTCTTGTGGTGTGCCTTCATAGCTAGTGGGCCCCCTATTCTCAGAGCTGCCGACGGTGCTGAGTGTATAATAAGTATGATATTTTGAAGGACAAGATGTCCCCAAAACATTTCAATGACGGTAAACAATTTCAATGACGTCTGTTTTTAGGTCGCTTTGAATGGCTTGTGACTAGACTTGAGACTGATGGACTTGTGATTGTCTTATAATTATGGGGACTTGATGGGTAAAGTTATCTTAGGCTTGACTGCAAGTCTACTAAATGATGTACATTCCGTTCGGACCTGAAGTGGCATCATCCTGAATTGTGGTGGGAAGGTGTCCAAGTTATTAACAAGGTGACAAGACGTACTTCTTAGCATCGAAACTGAGGGGTGTTATATAAATGATCCTTTTGTGGAGAGTATTACAAAAAAAATCCTATAAGGAGTTAGCATAGTGATATCCTCGGCTAAGTAAGATGCTTACTTGGATTTCGTCTGTTTAAAAACCTGCATTTTTTTTCGTGATAATTAGTAATTAGGACATTATTATAAATATCCGATTGGGCATCTATAAACAGAATAAGGTACTAATTATGTTTTATCTACATGTATAATAGTCTGAAATAATTATGTGTACAGAATTATCCTTTTGTCATTTATTGTTTTGTTACGCAAGCCCGTAAGCAAGGGGCTGTTTGGTGGCAGCCCTGTTCATCAGGCATTGCAATGCAACTCGTCTTTCTTCTTCCTTTGGCTAGACTCACTGATGTAATTTCAAGTCAAGGCTGTCCGTTGACGAACACACTTCCTTCATCTTCAAAAATTAACAGATAATTCGTTAACCAAGGACCCAGCCAGCAACAGGCTTGCCGTGGATGTCTCATTGTCTGCCGGAACAAAGAACAGAAAGCCGCGCCGAGCCGCTAAACGGCCCAGTCAGCACCGTGGGAGCACACGCAATAATTCCCGGCCTCCATTCTTCGACGCGCTGCGCCGGCCCCCGGTCTTTAATTAGCCTTTGTTTCCTGGGCCCACGCGACCGGCACGGGGCGGCCGGTCCCCCTTGCGCGCGGTGGCCAGCCGGCGATCCCCCCACTTCTCGTGTCAAGAGGGTCCCTTGGGTCGAGCCGTGCGCACCGGCTAATTTAGGCCGCTCGTGGATTAGCAACATGGCTGCCAATCATGTGGCAAATCGGCGGCTAATCTTGCCGATTAGCGGCATAGATGGCGCTCCATCCCCGTGTGACTGGTCGGTCCAGGCCGAGGCCCTGGGCAGCGGCCCAGCCAGCCTCCTTTCGCCTCCCAGCGACCCAACACAATATTTCGGCACATCTCTGGAATTGGAGAGGAGCCTGCAGCGTTCGAAACCCATGGTGGCTTCATTCACGAGAGTAAAATATCCGTGATTAATTATGCACGATAGTTACGCAGCTTCAGACCTTGACGCAACCAACCAGAGTTTTCTCACGGTTTCTCCGCTTGACTGCATCATTTGGGCGACCATTGTGACCCATAATTTGCATGACAAACGCGTTATTTTTTAGCCAATAGCGTCACAATGAAGACAGTCAATCGAGCATGACGCTTGGTTATTGGATGATTAGTGACGATTTCGAGTTTGACTTAAAAAATATATATATATGAAATTGCGTTTATAAAAGAGGACTGTCCCACCGAATTGGGGACCCAGCAACAGGAAATTTCAGAGGAAATTTGATGGACTGAAATTTGAGTTTCAATTAAAACATTTTCATAAAGGTATATACAACAAATTTTCGATAGCATCGAATGCAGAAGGTACGGTGTGCAGTGTGCACTGTCAGTGTCAAAACTCAATATTTGGAGAAAGGATCTGTTTTCGATCGGAATCGATTCATGTGTATCTACTCCGAACATATTCCAAACATTTTATACTCCATAGAGGGCGCATTATAACATGTTGCATGGCATTATTTTTTATGACCTTTTCAATTTGCAATGATTTAACAGTAGGCCTATATATTCTATAAAAAAAAACCGTTGAAACTGCTAAAAAGATCGAGTAAGAAGAGTTTATTCCAAAACGCGATATCACATCCATTTGAAGAAAAAAAAATAGAAAATTTGCACGGTTATAAACAATTTAATGAATAAAAAACAATATTACAACTTTGTCTGATGTTAATTTTCGCTTTATTGTATTCTTAAATTATATTAAACTACCGTTACATAACAGTCATCGAAACTAACTTTGGCCAGCCGGAGGAGAGCGGGATTCTACAAGTACAAAGTAAACCCAAAAAAATGGCGTGTATCGCGTTTTGGAAATACATGTAAAATCTAAGGAAGTACCGGTACCAGTTTACTAGATAATTGAAAAAAATAATAAGGATGATTTTGGTTACATTTTAAAATGCAACTGGCATATATTGTTCTATGCGGAGTTGTCAATTTCGTCATGATATTTATATCGATAGTTTGACGAGTTTGGATGATGACATCTGCCCTTCCTCGTAAACCTAATTGGTTTATTCAAGGCTTACATCTCAACAAGGAAGAGATGAGTCTTACGAATTGACAGGAGTCAGGTTAGCGTAGCGGTACTTTCCTCGCCTTCCACCGCTGTGATCCGGGTTTGAATCCCGCCCGGGCCAATGTGTGGATCCCTATACTTGAACCTGATTCCGTGGGTTTTCCTCAGAATATTCTTCTGGGCTTTTCCTCTTACCTCTAAAACTGTAATTTCTTCTCATTGTCTCTATACAGGTTTCTTGAGGCTTTCGAGTTACAGGGCACTGTTGAGGAATCCTTGGTTTCATGGCCAGAAATAGAGTAAATAAAATATTAAGCTCATCCTTCGAAATACATCTTTTATGATTAACCCATCACAACGATGCTTTTTATTGTTTCAATTGAGAGGTCCTCCCGCCTTCTAATTCTACACAGTGCCATCCCCCTGCACCAGCTTAGTGCGGTACGTTCCAAGCTCCTAAGATCACGGTCGGAAAAACCTGGGACTTCACACAAAGTTTGGTGTACGTTGAATCGCCCACTCCATAAACAAGTATAGCAGATGGAAGTATGGCAAATCACAATTTGTCATGTCAGTCATGTTTTATTTTTGGATAGAACTTGCGTCCAGAACAATCGTTTACCCACTGGGTGATTGTTGTTACAACCTAGCTGGGCTGCATTC